CTCTCTCTCTCTCTCCTCTCTCTCTCTCTCTCTCTCTCTCTCTCTACGTGATAGGAGGAAGCCGTGAAAACAGGAGGAAGCCGTGCCCCTTCGCTAAGCTTCATTGTTAACTGGCTTTTCTTCTCTCTCGATCATAACATTTCGATTTGCCTTCTACTTTCAAGGTATTTTTGATTCATGGCGTCTACTTCTGTCGGTTATTCTGGACTTGTAGATTTATCTATCAATACCATAGGGTCATGCTACAATTTTGCTTGTTTTATGTTATTTTGATCTACCTCTTCTAATGGAAACTGTTCTGGTTTAGAAAATCGATACAATCTTTTGTGTAAAAAGTTAAGGTTTCAATGTTATTTTTCCCTTTTGGATTCTTGCATGTTGTTTGTATGTTGTTATGATTGGATATGTTATTTTGATCTACCTCTTCTAATGGAAACTATTCTAGTTAAGAAAATCGATACAATATTTTGTATAGAGAGTTAGGGTTTCAATGTTATTTTCCCCTTCCCTCTCTACAACCAAATTGTTTTGTTTTTTTTTTTTGTTGGTTTTCTGGCACACATGCACATATGTAATTTACAGATAAGGTGCATTGCAAATTAAGATTCGACTATGAGGATGAGGACCCAAAATAAGATTCAACTCTGAACCATCAATTCTATTCTAAGACCTGATCTACCAATTTTAAAAGCTGAAAATCTAAATTGCTACCAATTTTAAAATCTGAATTGCTACTAAGTTCCAGTTCCCAGTGAGCACTATTTGAGGCTTAAAACAATTGAATTTTCCTTCCAAGGTTTGTGTCCAGTTATAGTTTTCATTTATTTCATCAAATAATTTGCATATGGATAGGCATTTGTTAATTCACATAAAAGTCAAATTTATTGACCTAAATAACTGTAAGAACAATTTTTCAGAGCCTGGGTTAAGGCAGATACCTTAGCTCAATTTGTCAATGTTTTAGGAGTATTGATAGACAGACAAAACCTCCTCAAGCTGTTTCCTAAATACTTTGGTGCCTGTTATATTTTTTTGATAGGTAATTTCAAATCTTTTTAGCTCATCTTCTACCTTCCAATCCTCTTTTTTTTTTCTTTTTTTTTTCTTTTTTTAAACTGTTAACCTGTATTAAGAGTAGAAGTAGAGAATGTACAACAGCTGCCCTCACTGAGCTCAAAAGCCACCAAGAAGAGTGGCAAACCTAAAAGCTATACTTGCAGGATTACAATTATTCCTAGAGTTTATTGTGCAAGCATGATCAAAACAAACTTAAATAATTGAGCTTTGTTGTGTAGAATGAACAAAACAAACTAAAATAATGGCAAGGGAGTAGTTGTTCTTTGTGCCTTTGAATCGGTTAGTGAATAGTGATGGAAATGAATACATCAACTATGTTGGTTCATGGGGGCTTACAAATATTGGCCATGCATTTGCCAAGTTGTTTTCTTTCTACTATTGTTTTTACCATATTCGAAGAAAAAGACACACTGGCTCAATATGTGGTTTTGATTAGAAACCTTATTGATTCATGCCTTCTTGGTAATGTAATAACTCTGGGTTGGATGAGGCAGAATCCTAAAGTAGGGTTACTCCTTTTGCCGTATTTTTATTTCCATGGTTCCATTTGTTGATTGGTTTAATTCTTTTGCTTGTGCAGATGAAGTCGATAAATATTTGCATATTTTGCTTTGTATTTGTAATTTGTCATGATATTTGCATTTTCAATGTACTCTGCTCATTGATATATTTGCAATATGTTATGATGTGCTTGAAGTACATAGTTATTTAGTCCTTTACAATGTGATTCTAATGCGATTGTTGTAGGCCATAACAATGGCGTCTCATTCTACAAGTAATCGATGATATACAACTTGACAATACCCTAAGTGTAGTATATATTATGCTACGAAAGCATCGGCAGGCCAATATAACCCAAGCAGGATGTACTATTAGTATCCATTATATCGGTTCTTCCAATGATGTGATGAATATGTTACCGCCATGCAAAATGTCAATATAAGCCATCGCAATACACAATAGTGGAATCCAATGAATGAATAAGAAGAATTGTCATGATCAATCAAGAAATAAATGTTATCTATGATACGATACTCAATGCCATAGGGTGTTTGCAACAATTCTTATTTGGTGCCTTTGGGCGTTTGCAACAATTTTTGTATTTTTTGTGTATAATAAATGTGTGCTTGCTTGTACTAATCTTTTTTATTTTTGTAGCCCTTATTCGAAACATGTGATAGTTTTTTGGAGTTGCATTCTTACTAATGTAATTATTCCCATTGTGGAATTCAACTCGTTCTAAATGCCAATGTTCCAACAACTCTCTTATTCCGATAATTGTCTTAAAGAGAGAGAGAGAGAGAGAGAGAGAGAGAGAGAGAGAGAGAGAGAGAGAGAGA